GATGCGTGCTTTCCCCATAAAGCCCCGCAGTCACACACACAATCAAGGCACGTCACGGTCACCTGCAGGTACGGGCGGGCCCGGAGCGCAGCCGCCGGAGGATCCCACGCGCGGCCGGAGCCTGCACGCCAGCTCGAGGGGGCGGCGTCCTTCCTCAGGCCCATGTTCGCAGCTCCCGGCAAGACACGGACGGTTTCGCGTCTGCACTTCTCCTCCTTGCGCGCTGCCCCCGCTGACGGGGCTGCAGATTCGCTGAAGGAAAGAGCCAGGTGGAGAGCAGGAGGGCACGACTCCTGCAACCCCGCTTACAAGGAAACCTTCTTTGCACCACCCAGAAACTGACGCGCGTGTCCCGGGCACGTCTGTGAGCGCAGGGGCAGGTGTGGCGTGAGGTCGACAGTGAAGTGGACCAGTCACTGTTTAGCACGGTTTGTATTTGTATTTTCATTGCCCGGAAGGACAATCATTAAAAAAAGAGTCATGGGACTATCTTCAAGACTTACAACGAAGCTTCACGCCTCGAGAGCCCCGGAAGGCTTGGGCCTCTGCTCTGTGCATAAAGCTCAGGCCCATGGCTTTCCCGTGACTCCACAAGAAACATGCATTTGTCAGGCACCACTTCCTGCAACGCTTTTTTGAAAGGAGCAAACTAGTAATTGACACCTTGATACTTTAGTGCCTTTTAATCTGGCAGGTGACATCGCCTGTTCTGAAAAACACACACCTGTATCTATAATATCTATGATAAATCTATATAATACTAAAACATGATCATATTAATTCCATGAGATTATTTGGGATGAAAGCACTGAATAGGTTAGTATCTTGCAAAGACTGCAAACACTGGGCTACTAATATTTGAGTCCCAAGATGTGGTGAAGATGGAATGAAATCCTGTCCATGGGAGCATTTGACCCTTGGTTGTTCCAGGGAATTCCCCTTCACTAATTAATCCTTATCCACAGAGATGTAATTCAGCAGCCCCGGAGCAAACATCCCATCCATCGCAGAAGGTTAAGTCGCTTCCCCAAAGGCCCTGTGCTCACGGTTAGCAGACACGGGCCCAGGCTTGCCTCCTTCACACCAGGGCTCACCCTCGCACGCCCCCCAGTCCATCGTTCTGGGCGTGGTCACCCTCCTCTAGTAAATACCTAGGGCTCTCCTCTGAGGACCAAGGAGGTCGTCAGCCAGGGGACACTGCTTCACAGGCGGGCTTGCGTTATTTTCGGTTTCTCAGTTTTTGTTAGGTTTTGCATCCTGTGATCATCTGTTGACAGGCAGATGATTTGGAAACATGTGAAGACCCTGGGGTTCCCCGAGGAGGGCACCCCTCCACGTGCTCCTCTTCTTCCTTAAGAAATGGGCCCCGCGGCTGGCCAGCAGCGAAGGTGTGCAGGTGGAAACATGAGGGCAAGCAAGGGTGAGAGGGGGGTTTGGAAAGAGGTGGCTGGTCGCGGGAGGCAAAGAAAGTCTGTGAAGGACACCCTCCAGCTGGAGCTCGAACCTCACACTCGAGAGCACCCCCAGCACCCTGTCGCTTTGAGGGTGCGGCTCTCCCTCCACAGTGTCACACAGCACCGTGAGCCCTTAAAAACATAGGCCCAGATAGTGTCACTTCCTTTGCACAGATGAGGAAGCAGAAGGCTGGGGTCAGCTCCGGCCAGTCTAACAAGGGCTGCACTCCAGACCCAGAACTCTCGCGCTTTCAAAGTCTGAGCCCTTCAACCTCGTTTCTTCTCCTAGAAGTACTCAACCTTCAGTTTTTATCTCTCTGTGACACTGGTGTCATATTTTCTCTCTCAAATTATAAGATCAGTAAGCTAACCCTGATTCATGAGCTTTGGTCCACACATGGTACACTGCGTTTTGGTTGTGTGCCTTGTCAAGCGACTGGATGGGTGAATGGGTAGATAGATGGATGGATGTGTGGATGGGTTTATGAGTGGGTGGATGGGTGGGTGGATGGGTGGTGAACCAATTCTGATCAATACCAAATGGATAAGTCAACATGTGGGTTCTCAACATTTTGCAGCCGAAGTCTGTTCGAGTGACACTGAAATCCCTTGGGAGCCTAGTGTACTGCGCATGGGAGAGGGAGGAAACGACATCCCATGTTGGTCCCTATCCCTGGGGCTGGGTCACAAGAGAAACAAAACAGCACCCCTGTTTTCTAGGAGCTTGGAAGCCCATACAGTCTTCCTCAGAAGACTATTTTTAGGTACATAAAATAAAACACATAAGATTGAAAAATAAAATGAATTACAGTAACAGGAGAGATACCGCTTACTAAACTATTTCAGAGGTTGTGATGTGGTAACAGACGTCATCTTAAATTCATGGGCCAAACGACCATTGTGATGAGATATGAAAACACCTGGGGTTTTTATTGGTGACAAAAACAAGTACTGCTAATATTTCAGGGTTTTTTCCCCCCTTTTGGCCAACATTTATAATAGAAGGAAATTCTAATTTTCAGTTAGACGTAAGTGAAGTAAAGTTACATGTTTTCTCATACAAGCTCATGGAGTCTCTACCTTCTACTCCTGGGTTCCCTTCGGGGCCTCTGAGGGGGTCTGACCCCAGTTCCTGGCGTGGAGCCAGCGGCAGGAGGCAGAGAAAGCCGCGGGCCTCTTAAGGTGAAGTCGACTTAAGTGTCTGAAGGGTCCATCCAGGACCCCCCATCCGACCCCCACGTGGAAAACCAGCCGGCCCTACAGGAACAGAGGGCGGGGCTCCCATCGCGGGGAGGGGGTCCTGGGGAGGATGTGGTGGGCAGAACCCGCCGCCCAGCCCTCCATCTCCTGCTGAGTGTCCCTGCGGCGTTTCCGAGCTAAACTTTTTCGCAGAGAATGAGACAACACGTTTCTCACTGAGCAGAGGTAGAAGCCAGGCGCTGGAGGGCCGATGCCCTCCCCAGGACGAAGCTCCCTTTCCACCTGCATGTGTCTGATCTCAGGCACGCCAGCCTTCCCCACAGCGAGGAGCATAGCGCCCGCCGAGCGCCGTCATTTCTGAGGAGAAAATAGAAACCTGGGTTGCAGCAGGAAGTGAGGGCGCTCTTGGAGTTATTGTTAGAAAGCTGTATAATGTTGAGTTATGTAAAGGAACGAAGGCAAGACGCGGGGACTGTTTTTGGAATGAATTGAAATAATTCCGCATTATGCAAAAGTTCTCATTCCTCTGCGGAGAGAAATCAAATCATGGAGACGCTGCATGTGCCCCAGGCAGGGCGCCCGCCCTCCCTGCGCACCTGCTGCCCGGCGCTCCCTCCTGGACCTGTGAGTGGGGCCTCTCTCCTTCCAGCCGGGCAGGCAGGAAACAAGAGCTTCCTCCTCGAGGCTTTTTAAACCCACAGCCCCCATTCAGCTCTTCAGCAGGTGACGCTGGCTTCACCCCCTAAACACATCCAGCGTCTGACCACCCTCCACCCTCTCCGCAGCTGCCCCCAAAGCGCCGCCCCGTCACCCACCCGCACCCACACCTGGCCTGCACCCGTCCTTCCGTTCCTGGTCCCCCCACCAAAGAGAGAACCACGCTTTTTGCGTCCCTGCTGCCTAAGTTCTGCACAGCCCACCACACCCTGCGCCAGGGTGGCTCTGCCCTCCCCTCTGGACGCTCGGGAGCCACGCGTCCCTGTGTCTCAGCGGCTACGGTTCCACCTGCCCTCAGAGCACGCGCCCGCGGTGGCGGGGACCTTCCACGACACCTCAGGAGCCCGCGCAGCCAGGGGAAGCGGTCACATTTCCATTCCTCCCCGACTCACGCCCCAAGGTGACCTCCTTTGGTCAGATGCCCGTGTGGACCCTCCGTCCTCCGACCTCCACGCAGAGACCTCTGCCTCCCTTGATGTAACTGCCTCATTTTCCTGTTACAACCGCCCGAGTTGGCGATATCCTGGTGGGAGCAATCAAATTGCCAAAACTCCCCAAATGATCTTTTGGAAGTCCGTTGTCCCCCAATTCACAGTAAAAGACTGCTGGGAGTTTGGGAGGGAGAGACGTGGGCGGCCAGGGGCTTTGTGAGCGAGTCTGTGACCTCCCGCCCCACACCCTGAACCCTTAACCATCTCTTCTCATCAATTTAAACACTTAGCAAAGTCTCTCACATTAAAAAAACCAAAACCCATAAACCTTTATCTTCACTGTTCATGCACGTCACTCACAAAAGCATCACTTTATTTCTTGCCTCGATGATTCAGCTGCTGCTACATTTATTCGATCATTTTTATATGAATACAAGCTCTGGACACTGGATGTGGTGGACGGTCAGGCCCAGCCTCACTGACCCTTTTGTTTCTTAGCCCAGGAAGCCCTGGGTTTCCCCTCCTTTCACCGAGACGTTCACCGCCGGGACTCAGCCCTGCAAGGCCAGCGGGCACCCCCGCCCGGCCTTCGCAGGCCTCCTCCCCAGGGGCTCGGTCTCCCAAGAATCCTTGGGTGGCCTTCCCATTCAGAGCCTGCTTTAAGAATTTTGCACGTATTTTTTCACTTAACCCCGTTCAACCCCATGTGGCAGATGCTAATCCCGTCCGTCTCACAGACGAGGAAACGGGCGCCCGGGGCGGAGGAGCGGCCTGCCGAGGAAGGGGCCCCCACGCCGCCCCTGGGCCCGGCCCGCCCTCAGGGCTCTGTGCCCTGAGCGAGCCTCTCCCCCGGGCGCAGCATGGGAGGCGGCCCACTGCGTCCGTCTCAGCGCTGGGCTCACTTCTCATGGCC